CAAGTTTTCCCTGAGGATCCCTTATATCTCATTGAAAGTTTCTGTGAACATTTACATGTTATTGAGAACAAGATACGTACATGTAAGTGTATACATGTATGTACGTGAATACATGTACACATGTACTGTACATGTACATCCATATTATGTAAAGATATCAGTAGATAACGCTGAAATAATAATCATGGAACATTTCTCCTTTGAAAGTTGACATTGCAAACATTGTACACTGTTCATAAAATGTACTTTGTGCACAGGTTGGAAAACCTACAGTATTTGAGACAAATATAATCGTAATTGTTTGGTAGGTTGTAGAGTTGTATACATACATGTATTTATGGACTGTATGATTCCATTTTGTTGATTGATTGGATAATACCTTGGGCATACATGTTACGGACAAATTAATGAAAACATTGTCAATATTTAGTATGTTATGAGGTTTGGAAATGAATCTTGGATTTTTTCTAGAGGGACTGATGAAAACTTTAATAAAATTAATGAACACTCAGTAAAATAATTGGCTTTGACAGTGTGAGGAATATCTATGTAAAGAATCTAAGAATTTGTTAAATCTTTCCAGAACAGAAGTTTTCATATTTTAGGTGATTTTGTTATAAAATGTATTTTAGTTTAAAATAGTGATTTTGAATTATTGTTGTACATGTCCAAGTGTTGCAGTTAAGTGACAATTTAACTTAGGGATTTTTAAGTATTGTTATGGAAAATTACAATGTATGTAAGAATTATCAATCTGTTTTACTATTTTTTTTGGCCTACTGTGATGGACAAGTGAATTATATTACAAATTGAAAAGATAAAAAGACCTCATTTTATGCCTGGTTTAATTTGTACAATGGTTTTGAATAGAAATATCTTGTGCAAAATCCGTTATTTGTGAACTCTTCTGAAATCTCTAAAAGCCTGCACAAACTGTGAGTGCAGAAAGTTCACCATGAAACCAGGATGCTTGAAGCGTGGAAAAAGTTTCACAACACTCCATGCATGCTTGCAGCATGCATTTATATTTTCTTCCCTAATTGCAAATCAAGACACTGGTACAAATGCGGTTCAATTTGTCTCCCCTCACAAAATTTCTAAAATCAGCTACAAATGGTGTAATTCAACAAGAATTGGAAGCCTTTACAGAGTACCGAAGTGAATACGTCACGCGCACAATTACTGTGTAAAAGGCATGAGCACGTGAACCAGCCATGAACCAACACGCGCGCGTACTCCATTCCTTTGCACTGCACTTTCTGGTTCATAGTGACATCACACTTCGGTATTCTATTGTGGTGGTACAACACTTGCGGACAGGTGGTACGCATGTGTTATGTGCCTCTTCAACCAATATGCCCCGAGCTTTAAGTGCGCCCCATTGGCAAAAGAAAGACAGGTGGTTACAAGCAGGTTCTTGCGTGCGTTGTGTGTGTACAGAAAGACCATACAAGCTGGAATAAATTAGTTACGCATACTCAGCGTGCTTCGTGTCAAACACATCCATGTATATACTTGCGCGCCTTGTGGCGTGCTGGAGCAGATAGAGCCTGAAAATAAAAGGTGACATAGCCTATTTATGTGATTGGTCCGAAGCAGTCAATTGCTGATACACTGTACTAATGTTGTTATCTTCTTTCTACGTGTAATGTTTTCTGAGCAGAGTTCCCCTTCCAAAGGAATTATGCCCTATACCGCAAATAACAAGTTTAAAAAATGCTTGGGGGTGGCACACAACAGATTGGCAGAAACATGACCGGGGGGGATACACGGTACACAAAAGATTTGATGTCCGTTGGTCAAATACAGGTTTGCAAAAATCCAGCTTAGTAACTAACAAGCTTAGTAACTTAAAATAAAAGACATACATTCAATCAAAATGCCAACAACATGCAAAACCTATTCTGAACCTGTGAACGAAAAAAGTCAACTTCGATTTTACAGAATTGCTGACTACAAGGAATTGTAAAAAAAGCAGAGTAGTCAGAACTTACGTGACCAAGAAAAGGTTTGAAAAATATATGAAGAATACAGTGAACAGAAATAAAAGAAATGAAATACACTTGACGTACAGAAGGCTCGATTTACCAGGTGCCTGTATGGACCAGTGCATGTAGATTTTTGCTTGTGCACGCAGCTGTTTCACTGACCATGCACGACCTGCATGTAACTTTTTAACCACCAAAATACTCATTTCCCGCATATACAGTATTTACCAATAAGTGAGAATAAGTATAAATTTGTTGAATTCTCGACCAGATAGTGTACAAACGTGTTATTTCTTTCTCCCATTCCTCGCAGCAGATTCATAATACATATACTGTACACTCCTAACCTTACGTGTATCTTTAGCTTATAATGCTTAAATTGCTACATGTATATACAGGAATATGCGCTATCGGTATGTACAAAATTATGGTACATGTAGGTTTTTCCTGGTGCATGTAGGTTTTTGGTCAACGTGCACTAGTGCATGCCACTTTTTTTGTAAATCGAGCCCTGGACGTACATTAAATCAAAACTGGAACGATATGGAAACTATCGACTGGAAAAGTTCTGCAAGATGTGTTGGCTTAAGTGTTCATTCTCTTGACTGGCACTCAACACAGGTAATGACCGTCGTCTTGCGACTGTCACTGTGTACCAAGCAAGCAAAGTGATCACATTCACTGCACCGACGTCTTGTTTTCCTCTTGTCCCCACGGGGACAAAAGTCACATGCTCGCTGTGGTAGCAATTGATGGAGTCCAACGGGTGCCTTGGGTGCGTACTGGACATTGAATCCTGCGACCTCCATGGCTTTCAGGGTAGTCTTGTGTAGTCGCTGGGGCTGGGCTAGGCGCAACATCACCTGTTGGTTGACCAAGGCCATGAGGAGCTGGTGAATGAAGTCGTGGCGGGTTTTTTGCTCACCACGCAGATTGGGGTGCAACTGGAGGTAGAGGACGAAGCTGTTGATAACAGCACAGTTCAAAAGGTGATAAAATACCACCATGGGCCAGCGTCTGGTGATGCGAGCACAGTTGTAGAGGGAGCACATTTGATCCACTGTGTCCACGCCGCCCTTGGTGGCATTGTAGTAGGTGATGATCTCTGGTTTCATGGAGGTGGGGTTTGTTGCAGCGTCATGATGCAGAGACGACAGGAGCAAGACGTTCTTTTTGGGCTTGGGCACAAATGAAACCAGTGTCGATGTTTGCGTGAACAGAAATTGTGATGATTTCACTGGCCGGGTCTGTGTATTCTCCTTCCGTATTTCCTTAGGAACCTCATGGCGATTGCCTCTGATCGTTCCCACCAGTGTCATGTTCACTGTGTAAAGATAATCGGATAGGTCCTTACTGACAAAAAAATGGTCAGCAGTAATATTCCGACCTGTACCGAACAATGGCTCCGCAAGTTCCTTTACAACTTGGGACCCCAGTTGGCGTCCTGTCCGTGAGACTCTCTTTCCGATGTAGGGTTGGATGTTGCATATGTAGCGGTATTTGCTGTCTACAGATACCCAGAACTTCAGTCCGTATTTTGACGGTTTTCTCGGCATGTACTGTCGAAAAGAGCAGCGTCCCCGAAATGCTACAAGCTGTTCATCAATGGTGATGTTTTCAGAGGGGTTGAAGTACTGGCGACAGGCATGAGCAAAAAGTTCAAAAACTTCTCTGATGGGAGCAAACTTGTCCGTAGCTTTCCTTTGACTCCGGGTTGCCTTGTCATCAAATCTCAGCATAGTTATAATGTCTTGAAATCGCTTGCCGCTCATGGTCGCTTGGCATAGCGGTCTGCCGAAGACCCCTTGTCTCCAGAAAGAGCGCACTCTTTCATGCCCGGATTTTGTCAGTCCCAGGTAGAGCAGGAGACCCAAGACAGACTGCAGCTCCATCAGTGCCACATTCACCCACTGCCTCCCTCTCTTCATTGCCCCTTGGGCATTGGTATGTTGCAGGATTATCTGCAACATGGCAGCAGGAAAGAACAACTGGAAAAGCTCCAATGGTGTTGTTGCTTGACCAATATTTTTGGGGCCAGCTGTCTGGGTTAGTATGTTGGGCCTTGCCGCTCGTCCAGCTGGTTTTGGATCCGTGTCCCAAATGGTTCCATCTGGTGATATCATTTGTGTTGGCTGGGCTGGTGGGGGTGGCTGGGCTGGCGGGGGTGGCTGGCCTGGTGGCTGGGCTGCACGGCCCCGGCCCCGAGGACGGCCCGACGGCCACGCAAAGGGGTGGCAGGGGCCAAGGGGGCGGCAGAGGGAGGCGCTTGCGCTGGCTGAGGAACTGGCGGTTGTCCTCGTCCTTCAGGAGGAATGTTCGCCGAATATGTGGGACGTTTCTTTCTAGGTTGAGATTTCACATCGGAGTCCTCACTGTCGGTGTCCAGGGTGATGTCGCTCTCACTCGAATAGCTAGGGGCTTCAGAGCTACTTTCTTCCGAAGAGGAGCCGCTGGAATTATCTGAATCTTCGTCAAAAATACCTTCTAGTGCAGGAGCACTGGATATCTTATTTACGGAAGCCATGCTAACACCAGATCTGAATACTTTACAACATGCATGATGTAGGCCACGCGTCAGCTGAACCTCTGAATTCTTTCTTTTCGTTCCAGCAACTGCGGGAATAGATTTTCTGAACAGAATCAAGTACATTAATTACCAGAAATAACAAATGCAAAAATTTTCCACGTGCTATCCAGCAGTTTTTTAATAATTAGGGTAGAAAGAGTGAACTATTTTGCCGTCGGGGAAGCTGCGTGTGCGAAATTCGCCACGTTTAAAAATCGTTCGCGATTGAAATAATACGACCACTTGATGTAAATTGTCCAATCCGAGACTGGGACGAAGGTCATGGGTCACACAAAGCAGGGCACAAGGCTGTTTTCCAATACTCAACTTAGTCTCCGTCCCAGGCTTCGTTCCCAAAACCGTTTAAATTACATTGGATTACTGTAATTTTTGGATTTCTTGCATCTTATTTGATGTTCTGTGGCACTATCAGACTGATTACTGCACTTACAGCTTCAAAGTCAGCTATTAAAAAAAAGTTGAAGCTTAAACGGAGCCGAATTGAGTATTGGAAAACGGCCAAATCAGTAAACATGGCGACCTTCAGCGATGCAGACGATATGTGCATCAACGCCGACGAAATTCAGATGTTTAATGCATGTAGAATCGGTCAAATTCTAAAGAGTAAAATCCCTTACGAATGTCTGATGGAGAAAGTTCACTTCATGTGCAAAAATAAGGGCTTGATTTATGCGGCAGAGATCGCGAAATCACCGAAAAAACGAGCGCGATGGGCAACACGCGATCTGCACAGACAATGCCTGTCATTGCCTGTGTGGCGAAGCATATGAATTAGGCTACGTCACGTGTTCTACAGGTGTAGGCCTACAGGTACAGAGGTTTTCACGAGACATGCTTGAGTAATAAGTAGTACATGTAGTACTGGCGTTTTAAACGCCCAAATGCTGCTAGAAAACGAAAGTTACACGAAGATTCTCCCTCTGAAACTCCATCTTCTCCTAACTCAGACTTAAACTCTGGCACGTCTGGGCTGTGAATCAAGATTTTCTTCTAGCATGTCTGGAAGATCTCCAACATTGTTCAAGACTCTGGCAAAATATGCAAAAAGTGGCATGCATGGTGCATTGCCTTAATTTGAATGCATCATTGAGTAAAGTTGAGCTGTTTGTCACTCGACATGGGAAACGTGTCAAGGATTAGCTGTTGCAGACAGAAATTTCTGATAGAGGTAAACTGCAATACAATCACATTGTAATCAGGCAAGGGCATGTTGATTGAAGTAGCTTTCAAAATTTAATAACAGTATTAAAGGTCTATGTTGCTTTTTAATTTTAGCCCATCATGCCCACTATTGAAGCTATCCAAACCTATCCAAACCTTTTAGTATTGGAAAGTTGAAGTACAGTACATACAGGCAAAATTTGTTGTACTCGTAGTTCGGTACATTTCATGAAGGGCATTGTGCACAGTTGCAATTAAGTGCCCTTATATCTAATCACTATTTTGACTCATTGAATTGTACAAACATAATTGCCTTAGTAAGGCCAAGTCACTCTTTCCTATTTGTCTCTTGCGTTTTCTCAGAATGGGTTCAAGGGGTGTGATGGGAAAATCTGTTTTGATGACCTGTATAAAAAGTGTTGTTTACTGTCTGATTGTATTGAAGGAGTGAACTTCAGATGGAGCACCAAGAGGCCTACGAGATGTTCAACAGAGATAGTGATTGATGGCCTCACTCATGAGTATGGCAAAGATTGCACAACTGTTTGTGACAGCGATCAAGAAGCACAACAGAACTTACCTTCAATCGCATCGGTATGCAGAATGCGAAATTAGACCAAAAAAGTGCTCGGACAAAATGTCGTAACACAATCAGTTTTGTTCTGCCATTACCCTCTTTTAATCTGCCATATTATATAAAAGCTACAGTTGTAACATGCAGTGTCAGGTGTCGAAATACACCTTTTTCCTGGTCCTACCAGAACCGCACACGCAGCCGCAATTTGAGCAGTCCTTGTTCGCGAGCAGGGCTTGACAATTTCTTCTTTTTATTTTAGTTTGCCCAATCTTGCAGGCCTGAAATTACACCAATTGAGTTCTTAATGGATTTTTCTTGATCAGAGGATTCCAAGGTAATCCCATAAAAGCTGAACTGATACCAAATTTATGCACTGGTACAAGAAATTGCAGAAGGAGTTGACACTGATCACAAAGATCGTGCGCAAGGGTGCACCAAGCTCAATTGGCTACACGTAGTGCGGCGGGCAGCTGGGTTAGGAAGCTGGATAGATGAATTGCTGGATGTGGTTCTGGTAGGCAAAAGTATAGGCCCTACGTATTACAAAACATTCTTAACTTGCCAGTTTTTGTCTGCACTTTCTGTGCTCAGTCAGGCAGTGATGTCAGGGAAACAGAACTCACTCAAATTAGCTCTGAATTTGCACTGACATATCCCGAGAAACTTGAACTCTGCAAATGGCCTGTTTAACATTTAGGTATGGTTCCCTTATGTCCAAATGATAAAAAAGGCTATTAACAGTGATTATGTAAGTCCTATGTGTTCAGAACAATCCAGTGATTAACTTGCGCATATTCATTAACTCCCTGCTGTACCACTAAGCAAGGAAATTATTGTGATGGTAAAAAGGCCTACTCTTGCATTGCCATACAGACAGATTGCCAGTTCTGATTAATGCAGTCATGAATCAAAGTTTGTGTGTACAATGTACATGTATGTCTGGGAGGGTACATCCATGTACCACCAACACATAAATAGTTTCCCCCATGAACAGCCACCTGCCCCCCCCCTTAACACTTTCTGTGACCTGAAGGTCCCCACATACTCCCCATTTAGTGAGAACGCAAGGTTGCTGTGCCAATGAATACATGTGCACATGTACGCTGTATTTGCACGTGTTCAAGTTCTGACACAAGTTTGTATGTGAATGTGTGTGTTTGGGGGGTACATCCATGTACATGTACCACCATTATAAATGGTTCCTTCATCAACACCCACGTGCCCAGTCCCTCCACTTTAACATTCAGGTCCCCACATACTCCCCATTTAGTAAGAACCCAAGGATGTTATGGCACTGAATACATGTACACAAGTATGCCATATTTGTGTTCAAGTTCTGACAGTTTTAATTTCCATGCATCGGCATATGTAGTGCAGCACTTGTAATAAATGTTTTCCTTTTTGCGATGATACAGATGTTCATCAATCAGCACA